ATCATAATATTAACTATTAGCATAGTGTTGAAAGAGTTGTTCTTCTATTTCTTATTTTTAATTCTTCTGAAGTATTGAAAAGCAAGTTTTCCATGATATTGCCTCGTCCACTGTCGAAAGACCTATCTCATTATTCTCATCAAGCACTCCAATATCACCCATCAATTGATATGATCATGTCTATAATTGTTGAGTACGGAACATAATTGCGTTATCAAATAAGTTGTCGATGATAAATTGAGTGTAGCGAAGTGTAGCAAGCTGCACAACAACCTCGTTGACATAGGCAAAATTTGCTCCATGTTTATTGTTTATTGTTAGCAGATTTACATAAGCTTCTTGTGAAGGTAGATAATTAAGATAAGACAACAATTCTATTCACGTTCTTTAGCAACTTCTTATGAACACTTAGAGATAACCCTTACCTGTAGGAAAGGCACTATCAATTTGGATGATATCAATATTGCCTTTATTTCTCAATATCAAAGGAAACAAAATGTCGGGGATGAGTCTCAGAGCGAAGATCTATGAAAAAAATGGTTTAAGCACGTGAGAGAAAACAAAACAAAGTAAATTTTTTGAAAGGGGAATGATCAATATCCAAGGGGAGACGCACAACAAGGTGCTTTATGTGCAAACAAGTAAGGAGAAGGATGAATTATCGACTTCTGCAAACCTTGCCCAAACATATGATTATGATAACTATAATGAAGGAGATATGCTCTTTGTCTCCACAAACCAATTTACATATGAGTGGATACTTAACTCATGTCGCTCCTATCACATGACGTTGAATAAGGAATGATTCACCACCAGATATAAGTTTGGCAAATTTTGTTTTGTTTATTTGAGAAATAATAATTGTTGTCTTGATCTATGCTAACACTTCACTAAAATAGCTCTGTCTAAAAACTATAATGATAAAACTAGATTTCATGAACCATCAAGTAAGTATCTATGTCTAATAACATACACTATCAAGTTTGAGAGCTTTTCGATGTAAATATGAATCTATGTCTAGCAAACATATGAACATAGGCATTCATTGTAATTTCTGAGTTTTGGCACATGCGCTTAGCACAGCAACAGTGCGCTCAGCATGCCGCTTTTTACTCGAGACCTTCCACCTGACTTCTTCTACATTGGGTGCAGCTTCCACACTAAGCGCCTCCTGTGCTGAGCTCAGCTTCTCTGTTGAGCGCAAGTGAGTTGATTTGTAGCTTTTGCAAGCTTGTGTCATTTAGGTCCGGTCCTTGGCCTATTTAACCCTTTTCAACTTGGATCAATCATGGAAACTTGGAAAGTAGGATTAGTATAATTTATCATCAAAATCTCAATTATGATCACTGTGAACACCCAATTTTATACAACCCAACAAAAACATATTTCTTCAAAAATGAAATTGTGACAAAAAATATTTTATGATAAATCAAAGATTATGATATGAAAATATGCAAATCAAATTAAATAAAGGGGAAAAAAGGATTTTTAGTGAGTTAATGATCACTTATTAGCCTTTTAAGAAAAAAATCAATTTTAAAAAATCACATCTCCAAATTTCCCATAATAAAGTGAAGATGACATTCAAATAGATTATTTTGGCAACTCATGAAAAAAGCAATTATTTAGACACGAATGAGGAAGTACACCAACTTTTAGGATTTTATAAAAAATTTGCTCAAAACGAGTCATATAGTTGTGTTTAATTTTATAGAACCAAAACTATTTATTTAACTCAATTTTAGGTATTACAATAACATTCCGGCTTTATAAAAATTATTGGACTAATTTTAGAGTGAAAATGACATTTTCTAAAGTGTCCAGAGACCCAAAAATACCCTAATCCAATTTTTAAAATTAAGAGGAAAATTAAATTGGAATTTTTAATTTAAAAAATGTATGAATGTTGTAAACATAGAAAAATCTGAATTGTATGTGAGGGAATATCTCCCCTTAATCATCTCCAAAATATTGATGGTAAAGATTTCATTTTTAAAACACATGTTGTAATTATCACTATAAATAGGGTACTGTACATATTTGAAAACTCTCTCAAAACTAAAAATATAATTTGATAGTTTTACCCTCTCAATCCAAAAATATCAAAAGGACATGTGCATAACAATCACCAACACCTTAAAATTATCCTAAACACACAACAAATCTCAAATAACCCAAAAAATGTAGCAAAATAGCTTACAACATCTCTTTTCCATGTGATGTGTTCAACAATCTTCTATCACCGATCTATACATGAATTAGTGCAACACTACCCAGTTTCCTTGTTGGTCAGCGACTATTTGCAATCAGGTATGCTATTTCCAGCCCAACAAAATCACATTCCATAGTCTTAACATATTCACTAAATCTGGTTAGTTTCCCCTACTAGTGTGTCTAGACTTGTTGATAACTCATATAATAAGCTGTAAAAAATAATCATAATTATACTATAATTAAATTAATCATTAATGAAATTTATATTTTTTTAGAAAATACCCTCACCTCACAATATTGTTATAAATGTTAATAAAAAATAATTTTTTGGGATTAATCAAAGATAGAGGAAGGTCACATAAATGCTTTTTGTCCTCGCATCATTTTCTAACATTCGTGCTATGCCGCTTCTGTTCATTCGATTAATTCCTAAAATCTACAAAAATATCCATTTTAATTAAATTAATAAGTAATAATAATAAAAATCAGTTTCACCACTAAGTAAATACACAAATCAATATTTTACTCGGAAAAAAATAAAAATGGCTAACCACATGAGGAGGGAGGGATTGTTGCCCTGGCTGCTTTTTTCCTCAGCTCATTCTTTAGGCAGTCGCGCAACACCGCTTATGCTCCTAATTAAAACACTCAACCAACAATCAATTTTCAATCTAAGAACTACGTAGCATCGATTTCCTACTCACCATTGGGATACATAAGAGTTCGGTCTTACTTACACAACAATAAATTAAAAAAAAAATCTATTGCTACTAATTAATTAAATACCAAATATTTTTAAAGAATAAAAATAAGCCTTACAATTTGGTGAGGGGTATCGTTTAAATAAATAGAGTGCTAATATATTTCCTATTCCGTGATCGATTTCCGAACCTAGATATCAGAAACCCAAAGCCCAATGTAATTGGGTTAAAAGATTTTTCTACATTTTTACCATAAAATATAGTAACAACTCTAAGAATGTTGCGCGTCCAAAAATCTGGACACGACAATCAATCACATAAAGTAAATATTTTGAGTGAAAAAATATTTAATAAACATTATAAACTAAGGTGATTTTAGCACTTAACACGCACCTACCTCATTTCCAATGTTTTTGTAAGATCATCTTAACCACAATTGTCATCTTAGATACCAAAATTTTCACAATTATCGTAAATACGAGACAACTATTACAACAAATTATACCATTGCGTTTTGAGCAACGATCCAAATATTACAATTTCTTCAATAATCGAAAGCTTGTAGTGTTAGAAGGAAAAGCCGGAGAACTACATAGTGTAACAAGTCGTCCCATGACCATAAATATAATGAATATGTTGTCTCCTCATTTTCATTTTTAAACATGGCATTAAATGTTACTGACAATGTCATATGATCCCATCAAATGTTCGCTATTTTTACTTAGTAATAAAAAATAACAAATTGGTTCGAGTAAAATAATATTTATTTATCTTATAAAAAGTATAGATCAGTTGTTATTGACATGATTAAAGGACCAATAAATAGACTACAGATCAGAAGATATTATGAGATTAACAAAGCAATCTATGAACTAATAACATTATTGAACAAGATCTTCTAACTATTACTCTACTAGAACATTAGAATACTTTAATAAACTTTATTGGTTTTCCAACTTTTCCAAGAGAGGAACATTTAACATGGAGAGGACGATAGAATGACAAATTGACAATAAACAAAAGTAATGACAATTACTAAATTGTGTAGAATTATATTTGCTAACAAAAATGAAATATCTTTTATAAATTTATCTACAAATCCTCCTATATATACCATAATAAAAGTAGCATGTAATACAAAGTGATACTTTATTTATTAATGATTAGTTTACAATAACATATACCACTTTCTTTTAGTATAGGATAATTTTATAGAATGATATATATCATTATTTTTTACTAAACCCTAAATATTCTCCGCGTTAAAATATTTATTGAACTCAGACAACGTTTTACCTTTAATTTATCATAGTATTCTCTATAATTAAACCCTAATCACTATCACATATTTGATTATAAATCATACACATGAAATATTTTAAAAAAAGGTAATGCTAAGGGTTATCATCTCTGATAATAATTTATATGTAAAAGAAAGTTGAATAAATTAAATTGAAGCCTAGGAATAGGTTTTCTGAGAAAGAGAAAAGTATAAGGCGGAATAAAGAAGAGTAGTGTATAATGTTATATATCCGTACGAGAATATTAATTATATCGTTAAGGGGGTTCGATTATTGAAAGCAACATTTATTGGTAGAAGCCGTCACACTATGAAAGGAATTAGTTCCTTACCCAAAAAGGGTGAAAAATATTTTTGGTAGTACCAAAAAATATTGATAGCAAAGATGCAAGTAGTTGAACCTGGACGCAACATTGGTGCATAGGGATTTTTTAGAAATGAGAATATTTGAAGGAACATATGGAGTGGCCACATGCATATTCCATTCTGCATGTTTTCCAAAGTCTCCATTAGAGCTATGGAGTAGTACTATCAACAAGTGTTAAATTGAATAATCTAAGTATCACGTGAACCGACTCAAACAAATACTATTGTGCATATTAACAAAGAAAACTATGAATATGTGTGAAAACTCTGACTAGGTTCAATGAACACAAACTTAGGTTTCTCTATATATGTCCACATGTATTTTTGTTCAGTCTACATATTTCTGTACTATAAATACAACACTTCATCTCCATTATTCAGTCATGACAACTAGAAGTCAAACATGAGTTAAATGTTGACTGTCTCTTGAAGTTCCTCTGAGCACTTCACACATGTGTTTAGCTAGTCTTATTAGAAAGAATGGTCCTTATTTGTGAAGTGTTTGGGGGAACTTCAGGGTTCAGCTAACACTTATTAGCAAGAATTAATGAAATTCATCATTTCATACTCAACAGGTCTAGTAATATCATATATAGAAGAAAACCAAGAAGGAAACCATATTTCATTTCATTGAAGTGTTGTTTGGGGTAACTCCCTTTATTCAATTGAACTCTGGGGTCTTCCAGTGTCATTTTATATTTTACATTTGACTATTGCACAATACTAAACTCAGCCACAAACTAAAATTTAACAATATGCTTATTTTACTTATAAAAAACAATATGCTTATTTTCCTATTAGCTAGTGCAATGCCTTATGTTGCGCGAGAATGCATGTTTTCGTCTCCCTCACACCTTGAGTGTAGCTAAACATCTTATTAAGTGTATAGTTAGTAAAAATTAACTCTTGTCAAATGCCATAAGTCCATTTGGAATCATCTACTCTCACTCATTTCAAGTAGAATATAAATTCTTACTATAAAATTAGCAAAATTTTATATTCCTTAGCATGTCTATACTTTTTCATTAATTGCCTTTTGAGTGATACTATTGAAGATAGGCCAAGACAAGCAAAAGCAAAGCAGCAAAGACCACATATTAACTGAGGAACGAAAGCACCTAAATAAGACACAATGGATCGTGACTAAGGAACAATAGATCGTGACATAATATGTTTTGAACTAAACAAAATACACATGACCTAGGCAATTGATAGTTATTTTCTAGAATGTTGGTTTTAATAAAATTAGTTAAGTTAGTTAGGTAATTGGTAGTTATTTTCTATTTTTGGGAGATTACTTATTAGGCAAGTAAATGTTGGGTATCCTACGTTTTTTTTTTGTACAAAAGCCTATTCAAGGCACTTCTAATCAATAAGAATGAAGTTTATATTTTTACTCAAATTTGCAATATGGTATCAAAACTTTCATCTTGAAGGTTTTGGTCAAGATCATTCAATCTTTTTCAGTTACACTTTTACATTTAGCCCATAGTCTCCTTCACAAGAAATGAAGACATGGCAGACTCATCAAGCAATGAGCAATATAGAAAGATATAACTCAATTCTAACAACAATGTCATACAAAGCCCATATTATCTTTATGCTAGAGAAAACTCATGAGCAATTCTTGTCACTCCATCACTGGATGACACCAACTATCACTCATGGAGAAGATCAATGAAAAGATCCTTGCTCTAAAAGAACAAGTAAAAATTTGTGGATGAATAATTACAGCTCCAAACCTATGAGATCCAGATTTTGATGTGTGGAAATGTTGCAACACAATGATATTTTATTGGATTACAAGATGCTTATCCCCTCAAATCTCACAAATAACAATCTATATTAAAAATGTCCAAGAATTATGGCAAGATTTGAAGGAAAAGTTCTTAAATGGTGACTACTTTTGAATACCTAATCTATTACAAGATCTCCAATCTATGAGGCAAATGGACAGAGGCATCACAAGTTACTTCGTTGATTTAAAGACTCGATGGGAAGAATTTTAGTCGACTCTTGTATGTGTGAGAATAGGTGAAGAAGTGGAGTACTTGAAAGAATGAAGGCATATCATGACAATAAGTATGTCATATGTTTTCTCAAGGGTTTCGATGATGAATTCAACACCATCATGGTTCAAATACTTCTAATTACTTTCATAAATAAGTCTTCTCACTACTACTACATAAGAAAGCCAACTAGGAAGGGGTAGTTTGAACCCCAAGGTTTTGTTCAATTCTGCAAACCCCAAGCCACAAGGAAATTCAAATGATCAAGGACGATCATGAAGATGAAGGAGTGTTTTTGGAAGAAATAACATCACACAAGGCAGAATGAGAGAATGTGGAAGATTTTACAATAACAAAGGAAAATGGATAAAGGTATGCACCTTTTGTGGGAGAGAAAGATACTCTATGGACGCATGCTGTTGAATTAATAGCTTGAAATGAGGATTGATGAGTGTTTGGTTGTTATCTTTGTGCTATTATAAGCATAGGATAGTTTTAAGCTTATTCTAGTTTATTTATATTGTTGAATAAGCCTTTTGTTAAACTTTCTTTTCTTAGCATAGCTGTTAATTAACTAACCCCTATAAATAGTAGGTGGTAGTTACTTTTGAATTTAATTCAATACAATGATGAATTCCCAAAATATCTTTCCCTCTCTAATTTCCTCATTCTCTAAGATGGTATCAGAGCAATTATTACTCTGATTCGTCTCACACTCTCACCATCGCAACACTTCTTCTTCTCACCATCGCAACACTTCTTTTTCTCACCATCGCAACATTTCTCATCTTCGATTTCTTTATTCTTCACTTCTGAAACAAGCAGATTTCTCTTCAAGAGGAATTTTATAGGATGGCTCAAGGTAATCAATCAATTTCTGATTATTTTACTCAGCTGAAAATTCTATGGGAAAAGATTGAAAATTATAGAACAATAGGACAGTGCAAGTGTGCTAATCCTTGCAATTTTGGCATAATAGACCTGGTTAGAAAACATAAGGAACAAGATTATGTGATAAGGTTCCTTAAAGGCTTGAATGATCAGTATGCTCAAGTTAGGTCTCAGATTATGTTAATAGAGCCTCTTCCTAGCATTAGTAAAGTGTTCTCTGTGTTGACACAACAAGAAAGACAGATCAATGTTCCTATTCTTTCTGAATTCAAGGCCTTAAATGTAAATTCTCAAGGGAGTTCTAGTTTTAGATCATTTAATGGAAATAGAGGGAGATGAACTAATTCTTTTAGAGGAAAATGTAGACTACCTTATAATGTTGGAACCAGAAGCAGTGGTGGTAGATTTTGCACTCACTCTGAGAGGACAAACCACACAGTGGACACATGCTTCTTGAAACATGCTTATCCACCTGGTTATCACTACACTAGAGCTGGAAGGTCTGCTAATGTTATAAACACTTTCCATGTTGAGTTTACACATGACTAGGCTAATGCACAATTCTCAAATGAGAACTATGTTGCTGATAATGTGCAGAACAATCAAGGTTTTACTAATGATCAAATAAAATGCATCCTGGAGTTGCTTGAGAGGACAAAAGGAGACAATAGCAAGGTTAATTATGTTTCTGGTTTTACAAAGGATGATGAAACAATGGCTGCTGTTAACTCTGCAGTGCTGCCATCATCAGGTAATAAATCTGAAGATTGGTTAGTAGATACAGGAGCAACTGATCATATTGCATATGACTTGAATTGTTTTACTGATCAGAGAAATATTCCACATGTCTTGATAACCTTGCCTAATGGAACTAAGGTTTCTACTTGTGTTTCTGGAACTGTTGTCTTGTCCAATTCCTTAGTTTTGGTCAATGTGTTATATGTCCCTATCTTCCATGTCAACCTAATGTCAGTAGATAAGTTGATTGAGTCACTAAAATGTCATCTAATCTTCTGTCTTAATTCTTGTGTCATTGTGCAGAACAATACCAACAAGGTGATTGGTACAACTAGTTCAAAACATGGCTTGTTTGTCATCAATCACTTACACAAGGCTTCCCATAATGTCTCTGTCTCTCACTCATCTTCTAGGTCTACCAAAGAATCTCTTCTATGGCATCTTAGACTTGGTCATGCTCCTTCAAAATTGATGAATACATTGTTTAGTTCTTTTTCTTTCATTCCTGTTTGTAATGAGACTCTTGTACCTTGTGATATTTGTCACATTTCTAGACAAAAGAGATTACCTTTTTGTAATAGTCATACACAGTCCAATAAAGCTCTCCAATTGTTGCATGCTGATATTTGGGGTCCCTTTCCTACTCTTTCTGTTTTTGGTCATAGATACTTTATGACTTTAGTGGATGACTATACAAGGTTCACTTGGGTAATCTTGATGAACAACAAAAGTGAAACAAGACAAAATCTCATTAAATTCATCAATTTCATTGAAACACAATTTAGTACAAAATTACAATCCATTAGAAGTGATAATGGACCAGAGTTTTTGATGCATGATTTCTACTCCTCTAAAGGAATCTTGCATCAAAATTCATGTGTTGCCACACCTCAACAGAATGGTGTGGTTGAAAGAAAGCATCAGCACATACTCAATGTTGTTAGAGCTATATTCTTTCAAGCTAAATTGCCTTCCACTCTTTGGAATTTTGCAATCCAACATGCAGTTCACATCATAAACAGACTTCCTAGTCCTTTACTAAGAAATTCCTCACCTTATCAGTTACTCTACAAGTCGCTACCTCCCCTAGACTCCTTAAAAGTGTTTGGTTGTCTTGCCTATGCTAGCACTCTTGTAGCATGGAGGGGTAAGTTTGATTCTAGAGCTAGAAAGTGTGCCTTTCTAGGATATAAGGAGGGTACTAAAGGGTTTGTAGTCTATGATATGTTATCTCATGATATTTTCATTTCTAGGGATGTTATCTTCTATGAGAGTCACTTCCCTTTCTCCTTTGTCTCTAACTCTTCTGATCAATCCTTTGAGTCTTCTCTTGAGTCAGACACACCTCTTCCCATAATTGCTAGTCTTCCTCTCTCACCTCATCAACAAGAGTCAAACATTTTTCTTGAGTCACACACAATTCCTTTGCCTGAGTCCACCACATCCATACATTCTCCTCCATCACCTAAGTCACATACTTCTCTAAGACAGTCCACTAGAATCAGAAGGCCACCATCTCACTTGAAAGACTATCATTGTTCTTTGGCTCACACCATGATTGGTGCCAACACTAATGATTGTGGTTCTCATTCTAGATATCCCTTATCATTTGTGATTGACTACTCTAGGTGTTCACCTGCCTTTAAAAGGTTTTGTCTCACTATCTCTAGTGATCCAGATCCTTCAACATATTCCCAGGCTGCTAAGATTAGTCATTGGCAGCAAGCCATGAATCTTGAGCTTCACGCCTTGGATTAGAACCACACCTGATCTCTAGTTGATCTTCCACTAGGAAAGGTTCCCATAGGTTGTAAGTGGGTATACAAAACCAAGATGTATGCTGATGGTACCCTTGAAAGGCATAAGGCAAGGTTGGTTGCAAAAGG